GGGGGGGGTGGGAACGCGCCGGGGACGTCCACAGCCTGGCCCCCTCCGGTGAGTCACCTGGGATCCTGCTCCCGGCCTAGCTAAGGGTGGACCTGGGGCAGGTCCAGCCCGGAACGTGTCCAGGCCCCTCCCGTTCTCCCGGGTGACCTTGGACAAGTTCCTTTGCTTCCAAAGGCGGCTCGGTTGCAACCTCCGGCCCTAAAATGGGTGCAGTCGTCAAGCGCCTTTAATCAGGTTCCTGGTGGACACTCGAGTTGGGGGGCGGGGGTCTTCCAGAGTCACCCCTGAGACAGGAACTAGGATCGTGCCCATTTCACAGATGAGGGCACGGAAGCGCTGTTGCTTTATCCCGCTGGGCGCTGCCCGGCGTCTCCCCAGGTTGGGCTGTCAAAAGCCGGACCAGCTTTAGCAAGATCTCCAGTGTCCATGTGTGCGGCCGGCGCTACCGTTTCGAGGGCGAGGGTGAGCTGGGGGCCGGCACCAGGGTTGAGGGAGGCCCCCCACCCCGCGCCCCCGCCGCGCGCCTTGCCCCGCGCCCCGCGCCGGCCCCGGGTCCTCGGTGGCGGCTGACAGGTGACATCCTCGCAGGTGACATTCAACGCTTCCAGCGGGACTTTGTGTCCCGCCTGTGGCTCACCTACCGCCGAGATTTCCCGCCCCTGGCGGGGGGCTGCCTCACTTCAGACTGCGGCTGGGGGTGCATGTTACGGAGTGGCCAGATGATGCTGGCCCAGAGCCTGCTGCTGCACTTCCTGCCCAGGGGTGAGTGGGGCGCGCACACGCGGCCACGCCCCCCAGCAGCTGTGGGTGGGGGCAGCGGTGAGAGGTCAATGTGGGTTTGTGGGTGAACCAGCGGGCGCCGTGCCCACACACAGACACCAGCACTGTGCCATTCCGTTCCCACCAGACTGGACGTGGGCCGAGGGCCTGGGCTCTGCTGAACCGGCGGGGTCGGCCTCTCCCAGCCGGTACCGGGGGCCTGCCCGCTGGATGCCCCCACGCTGGGCCCAGGGCGCCCCAGAGCTGGAGCAGGAACGCCGGCACCGGCAGATCGTGTCCTGGTTCGCCGACCACCCCGGGGCCCCCTTCGGCCTGCACCGCCTGGTGGAGCTGGGGCAGAGCTCAGGCAAGAAGGCGGGAGACTGGTACGGGCCATCGCTGGTGGCACACATCCTCAGGTGAGGGCCACGGCTGGGCACGCGGGAGCCGCTGGGCCCCCCGCCCCCACCCGCGGGAACTCAGGCCTCCCCCCTGTCCGCAGGAAGGCCGTGGAGAGCTGCTCGGAGGTCACGCGCCTGGTGGTGTACGTGTCTCAGGACTGCACAGGTGCGGGGCCGGGAGCCGCCGCTCCCTTGCCCAGTGCTCTTGGTCTAGATCCCACGGCCTGGGTTGTGCTTTCTGTAAAGTGGGGATGGCCGCACCTGCCGGGGGGTCTCGGCACTGCCTGGGGATGTTTGGGGCGCGCTGGGTGGGTGTTCGTGCCTGGCGACAGTTTGCGCGGGCGAGGCTGGGCCCCTGAAGGCAGAGGTCACGTGCCAGGGCTTGGCGGGGGCGGCCCCAGAGTGACCTCCCGCGGCTCTGTCCCTGCAGTGTACAAGGCCGACGTGGCTCGCCTGGTGGCCAGGCCGGACCCCACAGCCGAGTGGAAGTCTGTGGTCATCCTGGTGCCCGTGCGGCTGGGTGGCGAGACGCTCAACCCTGTGTACGTGCCCTGCGTGAAGGTAGGTCCGGCAGCCCCCGCGGGCCCGCGCTCCCTGGAGCCCCTCCCTGCCCCTCCTGCACCTGCTGCTCCTGCCGCTGGGGGCGCCCTTCCCCCACGAGCGCACGGTCCCCCGGGCGTGGGCTGAAATGTCAGGCCGTCACCTCTCTTTCCTGACAGCCCTGGGGGGAGCTTCAGAAAGTTCTCGGGAAAATGGAAATAAAAAAGGGCTTGTTTTGCTGTTCACAGCTTCGGGCCCCGGGCAGTTGTCATTGCGTGCGTTTCTGTGGACTTTTTGAAGCCCCTTTTCCCTCTTTTTTCTCTCTCTCTTTTTTTTTTTTTTTTTAAAGATTTACCTATTTGAAAGGCAGAGAAGGGGAAAGAGAGATAGGAAGAGATCTTCCGCCTGTTCGTTCACTCTCCAAATGCCTCCAACAGCCAGGGCTGGGCCGGCCCCGAGCCAGGGGCCAGGGGCCAGGGGCCAGGGCGCCATCCGGGTCTCCCATGCGGGTGGTGGCAACCCAAGTCCTCGGGCCGTGCCCCGCCCCTCGCAGGTGTCCCAGCAGGGAGCTGGATGGGGAGCAGGAGCCGCCAGGGCTGAAGCAGGCACGCGGGGTGGGGGCGGCGTCCCCGCCTCCCACACTCGAGACCATTTACTCCCCCGCCCCTCGTCCATCTCCCACACCAGAACCTCTGCTCTGTGCCCAGGCTCGTCACGGCCGCCCTGCAGGCGCCGGCACGGGGCTGGCTCTGCACACAGTCGGCGTCTACTAAGTGTCTGTGCAGGGGCTGCCTGACAGCACCCAGCTCAACCCCGCCCACTCTCCTCCTTGCAGGAGCTCCTGCGCCTGGAGCTGTGCCTGGGCATCATGGGGGGCAAGCCGCGCCACTCACTGTACTTCATCGGCTACCAGGGTAGGCCCCGCCCCCGCCCCGCCCCTTCCCCACTCCCCACCCCGGCTCACGGCTGCCCCTCCCTGCAGACGACTTCCTGCTCTACCTGGACCCCCACTACTGCCAGCCCACTGTGGACGTCAGCCAGACTGACTTCCCCCTGGAGGTGAGCTGCCCTCCCTCCGTCTCCCCGGGCAGGGCCGGGGGCACGGGCAGGGGACCCCCTGAGCCTCCCGCGTCTGTCTGCCCCAGTCTTTCCATTGCACCTCACCTCGCAAGATGGCCTTCGCCAAGATGGACCCGAGCTGTACCGTGGGCTTCTACGCTGGAGGCAGGAAGGAGTTTGAGACCCTCTGCTCAGAGCTGACCAGGGTGAGCCAGGAGCGGGGCCTGGGCGGCGGGGGCAGGGCCGGGAGCCTTGCGTGCAGCCACGGTGGGGTGTTGCCTGCCTCCTGGGAGTGACCACGGCCACCTCGGAGACGTGGGCTGGGCTGGGTTATGTCGCCTGGGAGCTTCAGCCCAGGGCCCTGCTACCGTGGGGACAGCCGCCAGCCCCGTGGGTCCCCGCCCTCCTGGTCCGTTAGCGCGGGAACACCCCTTTTGCAGGAGCGGTAGCAAAGTTCCCAGGGCTGCCACTCACTGGTTGGGTCTGGTCACGTGCTCCCCACAGAGCCAATCAGGGCCAGAGGCCAGGGGTGGAAGGTGCTGATTGGCTGGCGTGGGTCCTTGCCCCGGAGAGCCGAGGCTTTGGAGTCAGCTTCTCGGTGTTCAGGGTCTGGGAACACTGCGGAGGCTGGAGGCACTGACCGTGTTTCCCGCGTTGTGTGGCGCGGGGTCGCCCACTTGTGTCCCGCTGGGACCGCGTCGGCTTAGGGACGTAGGGCTTGTGGGTGCAGCCTCCGTGCCAGGGGCTGAGCGCCGCTCTCCCGCCCCGCCAGGTCCTCGGCTCCTCCTCCGCCACCGAGCGCTACCCCATGTTCACCCTGGCCGAGGGCCACGCTCAGGACCACAGCGTGGACGACCTGTGCTCGCAGCCGTCCTCCCCGCCGGCGCCGCCGCTCCCGCGCGCCGGGCGCCTCAAGGCCAAACGCCCCAGCGCCGAGGACTTCGTGTTTTTATAGGGGGGGAGGGGCAGAGCGATGCTATTTATTTTTTTATTTATGTCAAGTTGGGTGTGGGAACTTGCATTCCGGCAGGGACGGGACTTCCCCCCTCACCCGCTCCCCGAGCCCAGCTGAGCCCAGCCTGGGCCCCCTCCCGCCAGCCCGGCCCTCCTCGCAGGGCACCCGCTCAGGGCCCGACTCAGGACTGTAGTTCGCACTGGACTGGCCGTGCCCCCTGCTGTTCCAGGGGCGAGTAAAGCTGCTGGTACTTGGACAGCAGAGCGGTGTCTCCCGGGAGCTTTCTGCGCCGGAAGTTGGCTAAGCTGGCCTCGGCGTCCATGTCTGGAAGATGGGCGCGCACTGGGAGAAGAGCGGGGAGGGGCCCCAGGCCCCTGCCCGAGCTCAGGGGAGGCCCTCGGCCGCCCGCTGTTTCTTCCGCTGCCGGCCCAGCTGGCGGAAGTGCAACCGCTTGGGGTTCAGGCCAAAAGCTTGGAGTCGCTGCCGGCTGAACTCGCGGCCGCCCAGCGTGACCGTGGGGCCCAGCAGCCGGGCTGTCTTGCCCCTCCTCCGCCTCTGCGCGGCTGGCTTCTTGGTGGGGGCCACGGGGGCCTCCCCTTCCTGAGTCGGGGGGCTCTCGGGCCGGGGCCGCTTCCCCTGGGCCCCATCAGGCGCCGGCAGCTGCCCGCGGGAACCGGCTTTGTCTCCCTGCGGCTTCCTGACAGCTTCCGTGGGCACCTCCGTCCTGAGGGAGGAAAGTCAGGGCTGAGGCTGGTCACCGCCAGGCCCAGCCCCCAGCACGAGGGCCCCATCTTACAGGCCCAGAGAGGGGCAGGGAGCTGCCTGGGGCCGCACAGCGATGGCCCAGCCGGGATCAGAACCCAGGTCTCAGGGGAAGCCCCGTTCCCACGCTCACACAGCAGACCCAGGCCCGCGGGCTCCAACCCGGCGCTTACTCCTCCGAGCAGAGTGACTTGAAGATCTGCCTCTTTTTCCACGTGTTCTGGGCCTTCTGGCTGTACGCGCGCTTGTCCTGCAGCTCCTCCTGCTCTGACCTGCGGGTGCCGGGGATCGCGCCCTCACCGGGTGCTCCGGGAGGGGCCTGTGCTCGCGGGCTCCGCCCCCCGGCCCACCCAGCCCTGATCCGGCACCTGTACATGCAGGTCTTCTTCAGGGAGCACCACCGGTTCAGCTCCTTGTCATCCGCAGCGAGGATCTGCGGGGGGGGGGGGCACTGTGTGACGCCCAGGGAGCCCTGCCTCCGAGCCCCATGGGTCAGACAGGGCAAAGCGTCCTCCTGACGCTGACAGGAGAAAGCCAGGCCCTGCTCATGGCCCATGTCTCCTGTGGGGAAACTGAGGCCCGGGGGGGCGGGGAGCCTGTCCCAGGTCCCATAGCGGCTACTTCCAGATCCGCCTTGGCCCCTAGCCTCGCTCACTGCAGATGAGGCCCTGGCCTCAGTTTGCCCATTTGTGCCACGGGCATCGGGAGGTTTAAAGGAGCAAGTGTGGGTGGTACGGGGTGGGGGCTTCCAGGGAACCGGCACTAGGAATGAGAGCTTTGGGAAGAGCCCACGCCCACGTTTAAGGTCGGATAAACCTCAGCCGTCTATACCGGCGACACCCAAGGGCCAGCGGGCGCCATCCAACAGCCACACAGGTTTGACCTTGCTTCAGCGGCTGGCCTTAGTCTTGTGTCACAGGTGGGGAGACTGAGGCACGGGTGACTCGCTTGTCTAAGAAGCCAGGTGTTAAACCCGGGCCCCCCAGCTCCTGGCTGCCCCCTTGCTGCTCAGACAGGAACAGAATCCACAGGGGCCAGCATGGTGGCCCAGAGGGTTATGCGCCCCTCTGCGACACGGGCCTCCCGTCTCAGCCCTCTGGTTCAGGTCCTGGCTGCTCCACTTCAGATCCAGCTTCCTGCTGATGTGCCTGACGGCCTTGGGTCCCTGCCACCCACGTGGGAGACCAGGATGGAGTTCCTGGCTCCTGGCTTTGGCCTGGCTAAGCCCTATGTCCTTGACATGTTGTGGGGGGGGGGGGACCAGCAGATGGGAGATGTCTTTCTCTCTGTCTCTTACATATGAAGGTAAGGATCTAAGCCAGGCAACGATGCCGTCAGTACCGGCACTGGCTGTGGTCTTCAGGCTCAGGACGCGCCCTCGCGCCCTCGCGCCCCGGCCCGCTCCCGGAGCCCAGGGCCCCACCTCCTCGGTGCTGAGCCCAAAGTCGCAGGGCACCACGCTGCGGTACTTGAAGCGACAGGGCAGGTCGTCAATGATGTCCTCGTAGTCCAGCCGGTAGTACTCGTCCAGGTACTCCTCGAATGTCTGGTCCCCTGCCGGGGACAGAGCCAGGCTGCCGGGGGGTCCAGGGCCCTGCAGAGCCGCCAGCCCCGCGCAGCCGCCCGCCGGCCTCACCAGGCTCGAACGCCGGCTTCTCCTGCCCCACGGCCGCGGCGAAGGGCGACTTGCGCTTCTTCTTGCCCGTCACGGGGGGCTTGTGCCGCTGCTTCCGCTGCTGGCTGGGGTCGTAGTCGGCGTCCATCTGCCGGGGACGGGCGGGTCAGATGCAGGCAGCCCTCTGAGGCCCCTACAAAGCCCTCCCACCCCGCCCCGCTGCTCACATTGAAGTCGGGGTCCTCGCAGTGGGGCTCCTGCTGGCTCCAGGCTCCATCCTGCTCCTGCCCGTCCCACCGGTCCCAGTTCCAGTCATCTGGCTCCAGAACACCGGCGGTGAGGGCGGGAGCCGGGGCTGTGGGCCGGCAGCCCTCCCCGCCCCCAGCCGGGCACCCCGGCACCTTCGAGTCCTTCCTCATCCTCGAACTGCGGCTTCTCCTCCTCGGCGGCACCGTAGTACTCGTCCCCGAAGCACTTCTGCAGGGTCGGCCCCGGGTCAGCAGTGAGCGCGGCCCCCTCTTGGCGGCTCCCCCCCCACCCGCGTGGCTCCCTAGGGACTCTCGGGAGCCCGCTCCTGAAGCAGGGGGACCCTGCAGGGCCAGGCACCCCCGCCCTCTGCCGTAGCGGCTCCATGTGGTTAGAGACGCGCAGTTCTTGTCCCCCCTACCGGATGCTGCCCCTGCGGTGCCCGCCCCCTTCTCCACGGTTCCCACCCAGGCCTCAGGGCTGCACTTGGCAGTCGTGGGCTCCTGAGACCCCACCCCTCACCCTGAGCCCTGTGGGCCGTAACTTCACAGACTGTTGCCTGGTGGTTGGTATACAGTAGGTGCTTAATGAGTGTCAGCATGGTGCCTGCCACTCCGCTCAGTGAGCTTCAGGAAGGGTGATACTGTTACACCCATGCTGGAAACCCAGCAGCCAGATGTGGTGACCCGTGTCATTTATTAAGCACCTACTGTATGCCCAAGCCACTGAGAGAGGGCATTAGCTCCCTTCTGTGGAGAAACCGAGGCCCGGGGTGACCTCCGACAGGATTCCACCTGGCCCACCTCGCGCCCCTGTCTCCTTCCCTCGCCGCCCAGGCGTTTCTGGGGGCCCCCACACCTGCTTCCCCAGGGAACCCTCGCCACCTGTGTCCACAGCGGGTGCTGCGAGCCTCCAGACACTAAGTGTTGGGCCCCCGCACCCGCGTGGGGGACCAGGAAGAAGCTTCTGGCTTTGGCCTGGCCCAGCCCTGGCCACTGTGGCCCTCTGGGGAGTGAACCAGCGGATGGAGGGAGAATCTCTCTCGCTCCATCTCTCTCCCTCTCTCTGTTAACCCTGAAGCCGGCCCGGGTTGCGCTACGTGGTCCAATGGGCAGCGACAGCAGCCACAGCTCCCAGGCGGCCCCGCGGTCACCAGCGGACACAGCCAAAGCCTTACCGCGGTGCACCGCGTCGCTCGGCGGCTGACGGCACTCAGACAAGGCATTTTGCACTTGTGCGGGGTTTACTGGGATGTAACCCCATGATAAATCGAGGCGCAGGCTCTGGACAGAGAGCCGACTTTCCAACTGAGCTTTCCAGAATGTTCCACCCCATCTGTCCCTCAACAGCCCTGAGCCCGAGGCTGGGGTTCGAGCCGCTTCAGAGACAGGGAGAGGCTCCGGGCGGTCAGCTCGCGTCTCGGGCCACACGGGGCCGGCGGGCGGGCGGACGCACCTGCATGAGCTGGTCGTGCCGTGCAGGGTCGAAGTCGCCCTCGAGGTCCTGCTCCTCCAAGCCCAGCGTCTGGTTGCCCGTGACCTGCCGCAGCTTCTCCAGCTTGGCCAAGATCTCCTTCCGCTTCAGGTTTTTTAGCTGCTTCAGCTCCTCCTGCTTCTTGGCCTTCTCCTGCGGGCGGGGCGGTGGGTGTGGGCCAGGCCGCTCACCGGCCCCCGCCCCCGCCCCCGGGGTCCCTGCCCAGCCAGCCACGCCCCCCACTCACCCTCTTCTTGCGCTCCCGGGTCTCCTCCCTCTTCTCCTTCCTGCGCTCGTCCTTGCGGCGGACGGAGGACGCGATGGTCCGCGGGTAGGTCTTGACCTGCAGGCAGCCGGGGAGTGACCTGGGGGCTCCCTGGGGCTGCATGCTGGGGGCGGCGCCCGCCCCGCCCACGCACCACCCACGCACGGAGGCTGAGTCTGGCTCCTCGAAGCGGAAGTTGTACTTGTGCTCAAAATCCGCCTGCTTCTTCAGGAAGAGCTCGCCCTCGTCCGAGGAGTCATCTACGGCCAGCTGCACTCGGGGGCCGGGGACCCTGGGGACGGGGGGGCGGGGGGGGTGCTAAGTCGGGCGCCTGCTCCCGCGCACCTGGGGACGGCGGCCGCCTGAACGCATACTTTTATTATTTTAAGTGTATGTATTGTGATAGACACAGAGACCGCCACCCGCTGGTTCACTCCCCAGATAACCCACGGTGGCTGGGGCTGGGCCAGGTCTCCCACATGGCTTTGAGCCGTCATCTGCTGCTTCCCAGGCGTGCGTGCCCTGGGGGCTGGACTCAGCAGCAGAGGGGGGACTGCACCCCAGGCACTGGGGTGTGCGGTGCAGGGAAACGCAAACGCAAACACCCAGACATCTTTAATCCTCCCAAGAGGACCACCAGGTGCCCGGCACACGGGAGCTGGGCTGGGAACCCACCCATCAGTCCCCAGGCCACACCTCTCCTTCCGTCACGTAGCAGACAGGTAGAGCCACCACCTGCCACGCCGGCTCTATCGCCAGCTCCAGCTCCAGGCCCGGCTGCCCCGCTTTGGACCCGGCATCCTGCTCGTGCACCTGCGAGGCAGGTGATGGTCCAAGGACTGGGTGCCTGCCCCCAGATGGAGCGCCTGGCCGGGCCCAGCTCCGGCTGTCGCAGGCCTATGCGGAGTGGGCCAGCAGATGCCACATCTCTCTCTCTCTCTCTGTCGCTCTGCCTTTCCAACAAACAACAAAAGGCTGCCCGCCTGGGAACTGCTGACTCACCCGCCGCCCTCCTCCTCCTCCTCTTCTTCCTCCTCCTCCTCCTCCTCGTAGCGCTTGTTGAGGATGTAGTCCCGCAGGAACCGCTCCCCTTCGTCCAGCTCTGGGTTGTTCCAGTATTCCTTGAGGTGGGTCTGGGGGGTGGGGGGTCACGGACTGGAGGATGGGGAGGGAGGGGGGCCGTGGGCCCGAGCGAGCGGACTTAGGGAACCGAAACTTCACAGCCAGCCTACCAAGTCAGTGCGTATCCCCATTTTATAGATGGAAAAACCGAGGCCCAGAGAGGGGCGCGCCTCGCCTGGCCCCCAGCGACCGCACGCGTGAACGCACCAGCTCCTTCATGGAGTCCGGGTTCCGAGTCTCCTTCTGTCCCTTCAGCCACTCCACGTAGTCCGCCTCCTCCTGGGCCTGCGGCGGGGGCGGGGCAGGCGGGCACTGAGGGTCTGCGGCCTGGACAGCCCGCCCGCCCGCGCGCGCGCCACCCCCAGCAGGCCAGCGGGGCTCACACCCACCTTCTCCTCCCTGCTCTTGGCTCGCTTCTGCAACAGCCCGGAGCCCCCTTCCCCGGCACTGTCCTCGTCCTCACTGTCCTCCACGAACGCCCGGAAGCTGCCCACACCGGGAAACACGAGTCAGGGGGGCAGGCTGCCCTGCCCACGAACCCCATTTCCCAGATGAGGAGACTGAGGCACGCAGAGAAACAAGGGCCGTTCCCTTCGCTCCTGGGGTCCCGCCCGAGCCTCACCTCTCTTTGAGCTGTTTTTGTTCGTCCACGTAACTTTTCGACGAGGTTTGCTGCACGGGAGACAGTGACGTGGGCCTGGGGCCAGCCCCGCGCCTCAGCCCCTGCTGCCCCCCAGCCGCCACCGCACCCACCTGGAGCCTCTGGGCT